ATGAGCAGTGGCTCTAATGTCATGCCATGGGCATTGCATTTAACATAGGAAAATACTTAATAGCTATAATTTGTTTATTTTTAACAACTAAATAAGCATCAAAATCGATTTTATGAACATAATCGTGTGCAATTAAACAGTAGTAAAAGATCCGTCTCATGTACAAACATGTAAGAATAATTTTAATTAACTTAAAATATGTTATAATACCTTTTTTACCATTCATTATGATAACATGACGTGTAACGAAAAAGAAACATCTATCAAATTACTTCACTTTTCAGAAGTCGGTTAAAATTTACTTAAGGATTCATCTCATAAATATGCTAATCTAAATTAGAGAGCATAGTCATCGTGCTGAGTATGTTTGTTTGGGCTAATCTCAGAAAGTACTAATTGGATTTTCATACGGTTTTCACCAATAGAAAGAGGGATCAGAGTTACAAAAAATGTATTTTTTTTAACTCCCGTTATATTTTAAATGTGACGATATGTTGATCATATATATATTTATATAAATGATCAACTATATATATATATATATATATATATATATATATATATATATATATATACAAATATGCAGTCAACGCAAGTGAAATTCGTCCTCCACAAACAAAACGTATATTTCTATTATTTACTATATGTTAAACAGTTGATGACAACACGGATAATATTCCAGTACAATGCAAATAATAATATAATTGTATAACATTACGCGATCGGTACGTGAAAGTGAAATTGTACGGTCAACAGAAACATGAATTGTCAGAAATTATATATATACATTATTATGAAATTAATTAATAGTGATAATAATTTTGCTTACTTCGCCAGGGACTTTTGGTGTAAACACCAATTTCTAATTGCGATTACATATTTTATTTGATATTTAACCAAAGCCTCTAAAACTTGTCCACACTAAATCTGTCTATAGGAAATATCTCAGTGATCGTCTGTCATGAGATTTTTATTTTGTTATAAATAAACTAGTGTCTTACCCCCACTTCGCTCTGATGCATATATTATCTAACAACGTCTACTATCTAACAGAACACTTTTTCTTACTCCCAGTTATCCTCCTGTCACCTTTAAAGTTCATCATTATATACCTGTGTACCAAATTTCATTCAAATCCGTCCAGCCGTTACGGCGTAAAAGAATAACAAAGATGTTATATTATGTATACATATATACATACATACATACATACATACATACATACATACATACATACATACATACATACATACATACATACATACATACATACATACATACATACATACATACATACATACATACATATATACAAATTTTCATATTATTGTATAGTAATCAGAAAATCAAATTTTTAACTATTTTTATCTTTCTTACAAAAAAAATCGATATTATTTTTTTGGAAACCGTATGGCCCACTTTGAGTCCGAGAAAAATGGCAAGTGTTGCGCAATCCATTTAGAGCTGTACGCTTCCTTTACATCCCAACAAATCTTCGTAAAGTCTAAAAGTATTTCAGAAGAATACATTACAAACTAATTATTACGGTAGAAAAAAATATTAAATATGTAAAGCGACGTATAGTTGGTTTTACTTTGACATCTATACATATAATAAAATTGTAACAAAGTCGAATGTGTACATTAAATATTTTTTGGAAAATCTAATTGAAATAGACATTATTATCGATACAGAGTCCGAATCTATAGTTATAAGAATTTTTGTCTGTCTGTCTCTCTGTCTGTCTGTCTGTCTGTTACCGCATCACGATAAAACCACTTGACAGATTTTGATGAAATTTGGTATGATGATAGCTGGTTATCTGGATCAACATATAGGATACTTTTTACCGCGGGAAAATATCTCATTTCTGAGAAAAAATACAAAAACTTCATTGTAAGAGTATAACTAATATGTAAAGGCTAAGAATTTGGTTTTTGTTCATCTGAACGCAGGCGGAGCCGCGGGCAATGCTAGTAAAAGTATAAAAATATAAATTCAATGTTTGTTTGTTCGTCCTTCTTGAAAGCAGTAACGTATGTATAAATCCATGCTTAATATTATAATTGTAACAGTGTGTTTGTTTGTTTGTTTGTTCTCCTTTCACGTCAAAACAGAATGACGGATTACACGTTATAACACAACCAAAAACTTATTTATGATCAGAATTACTCGGAACTTGGTATTAATATCCTTCAATACAATAAAATAAATACTTGTTTTTTTAAACCTTACTTTTTAGACCTATCTTTTTAGTTTTTTTTCGTAGTATTTGAAGCTGCTGGTTCTGCTAGTATTATGTACATAAAAAATATTATAATTTTTAAATTAGAAGATTTAGACCCTAGACTCAATGATGATAACATATTACAAAAAGTGACTTTGAGCGTGACTTCAGTAACTTTAAACGATCAGTTAAATTTTTATAAACATTAAGAATTCAGTATAACGGTTTCCTGGAACTCAATTCAATTTTCCAGTTAACAGCTTTAAATCATGCTATTTAAGCACAGTACGAGTATACTAACGGTTTCATTACATGTCTAACTTCTATCTGGCTTGTCAAAAAAACAATTGCTAACAAAATTTGCTATTTTCAACCAATTGGTTATTTGCCCCCATTTTGGTTAATTGTACCTACTGACTGTTGGAATATGATAGTATTTGTGTATTTTAAGTATATGTCTCTACATCTAGTAAGGATAGGCACCTCCTTTTTGGACGTCGGTTAAAAACCGCAGTGAGTGATAAAGACAACAAACATTTTACGTGTAAACAACAAACTCTTTATCATCATGTAAAAGTACTGATGTTGAATAGTTCAAAATACTTGTTAGAATCTACTTGAATAAAAGTTTGATTTAACACTGTGCCAAGTGTACGCCATTTTTTAACATAACATTCTCTTACAATTATGACATTATAATTTACTAGCGACTCAACCTGGCTCCGCTCGGGTTCGTCCTTAGGTGCGTTACGTTTTAACATTTACTCGTAGTATAGGTTTCTCATAGATGAGATATTTTCCAGCAGTAAAAAGTATCCTATATGTTGACCCGGATAATCAGTTATCATCATAGCAAATTTCATCAAAATCTGTGTAGTGGTTTTCTCGTGATGCGGTCACTGACAAACAGACAGAAAGACAAAAATTCTAAAAACTATAGATTCTGTCTCTGTTTCGATACTAATGACTATTTCGATAAGATTTTCCAAAAAATATTTAATGTACAGATTCGTCTCAGTTAGAGTTTTATTATATGTATAGACTAGCAGAACCCGCGGCTTCGCTCGCACTAATATTACAAAAAATCCCTAATAAAGTAGTTTCATACAAACTTTCATCCCCTATTTTATCCCCTTATAGGATGAATTTCAAAAAATGCTAAAACACGTATTTATTTAATTTTATTGGAGAGCATTAATACCAAGTTTCAAGTAATTCTGATCATAAATATTTTTTTTGGATTCTATTATAACGTGTTTTCCCATGGGAAATAAATAATCTTCCGCGGTAAAAAGTATCCTATATGTTGACCCGGATAACCAGCTATCACCATACCAAAATTCATTAAAATCCCTCCAGTGGTTTTTCTGTGATGCGGTAACAGACCGACAGATAGACAGACAGACAAAAATTTCTAAAAACTATAGATTTGGCCTCTGTATCAATAATAATGTTTATTTCAATAAAATTTTCCGAAAAATATTAAATGTACAGATTCGGCTTGGTTACAATTTTATTATATGTATAGATAGCATAACGTGGGTTTACGAGTATGTTAACCTATCACGTTTTCCGATTTTGATCTTCAACCTAGTAATGTACCAAAAATATATACATAATAGATGCCAATGATATGATAACACTCTTATACATTTTTATACTATACTAGCCTTAACCAGCGGCTTCGATCTCATATTTTATGATATGTTATCTATACTAATATTTTAAAGAGGAAAGATTTGATTGTTTGTAGTATCGAATAAACTCCGAAACTACTGAATCGATTTAGATGAAATTTAGTAAGACGTTAGTTATAGACCCTGGGAAGGACATAGGATAGCTTTTATCCCAGAAATCATTTCTTAAGGGGGTAAAAATGGGGATAAAAATTTATATGGGGAAGCAATCTAGGGACGAACCCGACCGAAGCGAGGGTGAGTCGCTATTGTATAATAAACCTACGCCCTTTTACTTTTCTAAGTAAATAGAGTAGAATGCAAAAAATAAATCAGACTAGTAATTTCAGCGATTAACGCATTCAAACAAACAACAAAAGAAACAAAATTAATTTGATGATTAGAATATTGGCCTATCTTCACTACGTGGGTAACCAATTTTCATGAAACTTTAAGTAATGCATAGTTTATATCTCGGACGAAAATATTCACCGCTAAAGGCAATAATTGTTTTTAGTATTTTTTTCAAAGTCAATTTCAAGTTAATAAAAAATACTATTAAAATAAAAAAATAAAAATTTATTACTGCATTATTATATGAAAGTGAAACAAATGAAAAGCTTTTGTAAATCTTTTATCATTGTGGTGGTATTTTGGTGAAGGTATATATTTTCGAGTAATTTACATTTCATTGTATAAATTATGATTTTTATATTAATAACAATATAAATTATATTTATTTAAATTTTTTAAATACATTTTAAAAGGAGAGACTTGATTATAAAAAGAGATTAGTTATTTTTTAATCATATAAAGTAATGATAATTTCATTTGATTATTTATTTAAAATCATAATTTTTTGTATCAATTTTCATATTTTTACTTGAAAACCTTAATAGTCAAGTTTCTTCTGGAATTATTCATGTACATACTGCTTTAATCCACATCTCTATCTATATCTCTATAACATTTCTTGTAAAAATTCAATAACTTTTTTTATTCGGACAGATGCCAACGACCCACATCGAGCTCGATACAACGAAATCCAAACAGTGAGAACTTATAATAAAAAAAGCCAACCGAAATATATAAAACCTATGTTCATACAAACGGAGAGTACAAAAAGAATATTTTACGATAATTCATCAGTGCCTGAATTTAAACCGATAACAGACGCACAGATAAAAAAGATAAATGAAATTATTAAAGAATTAACAAGTACAAATAAAGTGCAAAGTTTAAGTACAAATGATAAAAGAAAAGGGAGAATTTTAGATAGTCAGGCTGAGTCTTCTAATATAGAAGCGATAGAGACGAAGAAAGATGACAGACAGTATGAAAAATCTTGTCCTCAAGGAGGAACGTGCGAATTTTTTTTCTATTGCTGGATGGTCGGTGGTCTATTGGACGGCTCGTGTGGAAGCCTCTTAAAAGGCTGCTGCCACAGAGTAGCTAAAGCCGGTACACTTGGTGTTCAAGACTCGAACAGCATAGAGTACTCATCAAGTGAGGGACACAATTTTGGTCCAGTTTTAAATGATGAAAGTAAGTGTATCTGCATTATCACGCCGTTGCGTAATGAATCGATTCTATCGGTGTTAATTTATCGATATGCCACTTATCGATTCTTTTATTAAATTTGGTAATATAATGTCATAGAATTGTAAATACTTTATCTTTGACTGCCTTCTAAATCATTCGATAAGAATACTTTTATCCGGTAAAAGCTTTCAAAAATATTCTTTCCGTAATATATTACGTGACGGTGTGCTTACCAGTAGCGGAATAAACTAACAGAGCTCTGATGTGGTCGTGTGGCAAGACATAGCTAGGAGTAGAATGTTCTCGAATGTTCCAGATTTTTCTAGATGCAGTAACATCACCAGGTATTGGCAAATGTAAATAAACTTCTTTATTAATTTCCTTTCTAAGCTCTCTAATTATGTCTTGCTTCCTCACATCTATATAGTTTATGATTATATATTTGTAATATATTTAGTATATTGATTTTATTAACACATATTCTTTGCATGCTTCTTAGGTGTACAGGTAAGTGGTATTCTATTATATACATATATTTATCTTATTTTATCTGTTTTTTTGACATCACAGTATTATTCTTTCATATAACAATAATAAGAACATTCACTTGCTACACCGTGCTTAGAACAAACAAACAACCCCTTTATCCTTTATCTTCAAAACTACAGTCTCTATGGCACAAAACTAAATTCGTAGACGACCTTACTCATAGTTTAGATATTTGAGCAAGGAAACTAGCAACTTACCCTTGCTTCTTTCAGTTTCATCACTAGGTGCCTTTTATATTTGTAATCTATACTAATATTATAAAAGGTAAAGTTTGTGAGTTTGTGGGTTTGTGGGTTTGTCAGTTTGTGACGTTGTAGGGGGTAATCTCTGGATCTACTAAACCGATTTAGATGAAATTTGGTAAGAAGATAGTTTGAGACCCTGGGAAGGACATAAATTAGTTTTATCCCGGAAATCATTCCTTAAGGGGGTGAAAATGGAGATGAAAATTTGTATGGGGAATCAAAGTTTGTATAGGGGCAAACCCGAGCAAAGCGAGTACAGGTAGCGCCATCTTTTGGCCTGTTTCATGAATATTCTCTAAAAAAACCTATTTGTGGACTGAATTTCATCCAATTCTGTGCAGTCATTTTAGTATGAAGTAACAAGCATACCGCATACAAACTTTCGCATATATAACAATACGTAGTGCGATAATTACGCAATTAATTAAACAGTAAATAGTAACAGGATAGTATCTTCTTATTTAAATGTATACATTTCCAACACTCCTCTGTTTCTAAACACCTGCCGGTATGGAATATTTTATGTTTTACATAACATGTGATATACTTTTTTATCGTTTTATTATAGCTTATTGATACTCGCTTTCCCTTGGAGTGATTAGGAATGCTTTTTGTTAACTAAATTAAAATATAAACAACTAGCGACTTATATCTTAGGTGTAGGTATATAGTTGCCTTAGGACCTATGTATTATTCCAAGTCATAATCTATCTATGTACAAAATTTATTCCAAATCTGTCCAGCTTATACAACGTGAAGAAGTAACAAACATCAAAAAAATTGGCAATTATAATAGTAATCTGTACTAATATTATAAAGAGGTAACGTTTGGGAGTTTGTGAGATTGTGAGTTTTTGACGTTGTAGGAGGTAATATTTGGATCTACTGAACCGATTTAGAAATTGGCAATTATAATAGTAATCTGTACTAATATTATAAAGAGGTAACGTTTGGGAGTTTGTGAGATTGTGAGTTTTTGACGTTGTAGGAGGTAATATTTGGATCTACTGAACCGATTTAGAAATTCAGTAAGAAGATACTTTTTACCCCGGAAATCACCCCTTAAGGGGGTGAATATGGGGATGAAAGTTTGTGTTGGGAAGCAAGCAAGAGACTAACCCGAGCGAAGCGAGGGTGAGTCGCTACCCAAATTATAAATAGAAGATTATATGTACTTGTGATGATCAAATGTTTTATTTTTATAAGGATTAATATTATATAGTTTTCGCAGACTTCATACGTATTCGCTACCCATTTAGGCAGTGCACGTAAAGTACTATCGCTATGTTATTTTCTACTTGTTAAACAAAAACCGTGACAGTACGACTAAAATAAACAAAACAAAAATTCAATTAGGCTATAGCAATTTGGCCTAATTTACCTACATATTACCGAAAGAATTATCTACATCAATAGTTTCATAGTTTATCGAATAAAAACTAATAAATGTATTATTTTAATATTAATACAGATAAATTAAAATGGTGGTAGAATACTCATTTTTTTTGTGAAATAGATATTTTTAAGTGTGTCATGAATACTCGTATTTAAACCCTTTGTGAGGAACTAACTGAACTCCATTTTTATTCCATACCGTTTTAAACGTAACGGTACAGTCTCGACAGGAAGCCTATCAAAGCATATAACTATGTTTCAGATATGACACAAATAATTTTGACAATTTTGTAACTTTTTTTGAAGTGAAACTTATTTAGAATCATTCTGATTTGAGACTCGATAAAACGAAAATGCGACACTAAAAAGACAAACACAAATATATAGGATTAAGCCGGTGAGAGAATGAGATAGAATACATTGCCATGTTGCCATGGTAACCGTTGTTATTGTCTGAAATAAATATAATCTTATATTCTTTCCGTATACGATATTTTATAAATATATTATTGTAATGTGCCTAATATGCCATATTGAATTATTTGAGATAGAATATAAAAAAATACGCACATATTTTATATGTGACGCGTTATATTCGCCAAACGAATTTCTACTCTTTTTTAATAAATAGGTTAAAATCTTAGAATTAGAATTAAAATTTATTTAATTTATCCTCCTAAAATTTACCATTAAATAAATAAACACCATTATTATATCTTTTTTTTCAAATGAAACTATTTTTTCGGATTTTTTTGCGGATTTATTTTTATTTTTGGTTCCCGACGTTTTGAATGCTATCATGGTCAATCTCTTCCGTGATCATGAATCTAAGAAAATATCATATTTTTTAATCATTACTAAATAAACATAAAAATTAATGAAAAAATAAAACAGGTATAACCTGGGTATATATGCTAGTATTTTATAATCTTTGAAAACCACAAAATTTTGAAGTGAAGACCAAAATATACTTGACACTGACTTATTTGCATGTTACGCAAACACTTTCACTGGCGCCGGCGCATGACGATTTATTCAGCTTAAACTCGATTATGGTGGGCTTACACATGGATGCCAAGCGTAATTTTAAATGTCACGATATATTATCTTGACGTAACTGATGGGTAGCAAAGATTTAAAAAGTTATTATAATTAAAATGACTTTATCTATACTAATATTATAAAGAGGTAAAGTGTGTGAGATTTAGATGAATTTTGGTAATAAGATACTTTAAGGTTCTAGGAAGGAAATGGGATACTTTTTGTCATCAATCATCCCTTAAGGGGTTGAAAATGGGGAATGGGGCACGCCATTTCAGTATAAAGGAGTAACAAACATACATACACTCACACGTGCACACGCATACTCACGCACACATATCGGTACTAATATTATAATTGGGAAATTGTGTTTGTTTGTTTGTTCGCTTGTTTGTTTGTCCTTCTTTCATGTGAAAACGGAATGACGGATTGGTTTGATTATTATTTGTGGAGACAGTTCTGCTGGTACTTTATAATAGTGTAATATGATAAGATGATTTTTTGTCAAATCTAATAAATCGTTAAAACTTTCAAAAAAAACATGTGAAACTATAAAATGCAATGCGTATGTTAAAAGATTTTTCAAATTGGACTCTTAGTTGAAGAGATAAACTCGTTCAAACAGACAAACATACTAACAAACACAGTCTTTAATATAAAGATATTTAATCTTATAATTTTGTATATTTGGTCTTGAATAAAACATAATTTAATGAAATAAATAACAATTTTAAATTAAAACGAAAAACAAACATGTAGAACCACCTTTATAATTTGACATGTCAAGAAAATGATTTTTTAAGTATCACGCGTTATGGCAACATTAAGGTTTATGAGTGTAATGTTAGTTAAATGAGCGGTTTGCAGTTTGTAGCTACTTCCACTACTATAGAATATATAAATAGGCATAGACAAAACAATTCAGAATTTTTTTTCTTTGTTTATCAACCTATTTTCTTTTTTTTTTTGTTAAACAGCTATTAACGAGCTCTAGTTTTAAAATACTTTCTTGGATATAGGCTAATATTTGCCATTTTTTGTTGTGGCTATGTTTTTGGAGTCTCTCCCGTGATCAGGATTGCTGTAAAGTATTTGAAAAGTCGAAAAACAAAAATTAAAATAAATCCGCGAAAACATCCGAAAGCATTGAAGAAGTTTTATTTAAAAAAACGAGAATACGATAACGATAGAATGATAGTTTTATTTAACAAAAATAATGTTATCTATAAAAAAATATTACGGTCGAGTTGCGACTTCTGGACGCATACCAGTATTAGCTAAATGTTTGTAATTTAATTTTATATTTATAGGTTATTTGTTACTCTGATGTTCAAGCTATATTATTGTAAAGTTTCAATTTTCATCAAAATCCGTTCAGTTCTTTTTGTGTGACAGAATAACACACATCCATACACCCATTCTCACCAAATTTCGCGTTTATAATATTAGTATGACGTATGTATGTATGTATACAATGCTTTTTAACGCCCCACTGTTGGGGGTGGCCGGGCCATAGAGGGATAAGGCCATAGTCCACCACGTTGGCCAAGTGCGAGTTGGCGGACTTCACATGTCTTTCGAAAACTTGCTAGGTTCTCTCAGACATGCAGGTTTCCTCACGATGTTTTCCTTCACCGTAAGGCAAGCGGTAATCATGAAATTAGTATGATGTTTAATACAAAGTACTTTACATCTAATGCTAATATAAACAGAATCCTGGTTCTAAGACAATTATTTCTCAATCACTGACTTACGAGTATCTATCTTTCTTAATATACGAAAAACCCAAGCCATTTATTACAATTTACAATTTCGTAATTGTACATTCCATTTTAAGCTTTATATCATTCTAATAAGAGTTATTACTAAAAGTAGGATGCATGACGCATATTTTAGCAAGCCAAATCCAATATCGGGGTCATATCCGTCAGCATTTATTTAACACTATTTATTGCATATGATTTTATCTGCATATGGTTTTGTATATACGTTACAGCTGATGTTCGATTGATACGTGTAGGCCTAGTGGTTAACAAGTACGGGTACGGATCCGGAAGTCCTGGATTCGAGTCCATGGTCGAGTACTGTCAAGAAATATTCAGTAGCAGCCCGGAGTTGGGAAGTTGGCAGTATTCACGAGTGTCAACACAGTCAACTCTTAAAGAGCACGTTAAGCTGTCAGTCCTATGCCTTATGTCTATAACTATGGTCCCAGAATTTGAGACAGATGAAAATTTAATTTAATATGTTTTCGCTATTTCTTGGTGAGGTTGATGACGATTTCAATGATAGGCGAAAATATTTCTTTAAAATATGGGTTGTCTCCTCGATGTATTTATTTCCTTAACCTTTCCTTTTCCTTTTGAAGTCAGTCACAAAAGGTCATATTTAAATCTATCACGTTTTTGAGTAACGCGTGATAACGCGGACATACATACAATTCTAAAAAACTGTTAATTGAGCTTCTATTAGATTTTGGATATCCTTAAAAATCATTTCTTCTATATAATATTCCATATACAACTTTGAATCCAATATAATTCATACTAATATTATAAATGTTAAATTGTGTTTGTTTCTTTGTATTTTACGTCGAAACAGAGTGATAGATTGGCGTATTTTTTTGTGTGGAGATAGTTGGAGGGCTGGAGAGTGACATAGGCTACCGCGGGAAACAATCTCATTCCCATGGGAAAACACGCCATAATACAATCCACAACAACTAATATCATATATTTGTATACACATAATATAATATATAGCTAACTATTCCATAATAAACGTTAAAACGTACCTAGGGACGAACCCGACCAAAACGAAAGAGAGTCGCTAGTCTATAGAAATAAATATAAAAAAAATAGGCAAAAGACCAAAAAAAACATTTTCATATCTTTTCCTTCTCTGTTTGTCAACCGTTTTTCTGTTTTGTTTAGTAGCTATTGACAAGCTTTAGTGTGACCAATAAAAAAATTGAACTCTTATTGTACTAATATTATAAGCGCGAAAGTTTGTAAGAATGTATGTATGAATGTTTGGATGTATGTTTGTTACTCTTTCACGAAAAAACTACTGAATGGATTTTGATGAAACTTTACATTAATATAGCTCATACATCAGAATAACACATAGACCACTTTTTATCCCGGAAAAATGTACAGCTTCCGTGGGATAGATTTGTTTTTGTTTTTCATATAAATGTTTTCCTCGAATTTTCTATAATGATTACAGTAAAATTTCGACCACTGGACGAACAATAGTTATAATAGAATAATCGACTCCTGCGAATTTTCATCCCGTATCGTGATGTATGTATTCAGTCCTTTTTAACGTCCCACTGCTGGGCGTGGCCCTAACTTCAATACGAGGGGGGTCAGGCCAAGTCCACCACCCTGGCCAAGTGCGGCGCTAACCCGCACTTCACATGTCTTTCGAAAACTTGCTAGGTTCTCTCAGACATGCAGGTTTCCTCACGATGTTTTCCTTCACCGTAAAATAAGTGGTAATCATGTTAGAAATGATTCGCACATGAAAATATCAGAGGTGCGAGACCTGGGATTTGAACCCACTTCACTCGTTCCCCAAGCAACTGCATTACCACTGGGCCACCACTGCCGTATCGTGATAATTCACCAAAAATAACAGTAAAATAATATGAAAAAATAAAAACATTAATTTAAAACTAAATGGTTATATTTCGTCATTAGCCAAAAACATAACCTTAAAAATTATGTCTCAATCATTAATTTTATTATGATATATGTAGCAACATATACATGCGTACGAGTACATATGATGAGGATATTGCATATATGTGTTTTTCAAATACGATCAGACCAACAGTCTGTATAAATATTATAAATGTGAAAGTCTGTGAGTATGTATGGATGTTTGTTACTCTTTCCCGTCAGAACGGCTCAATGGATCTGGATGAAATTTGGCACAGAGATAGATTATAGTCTGGAATAACACATAAGCTACTTTTATTCTGGAATTATATATAATAATAATAAGATTTATTCCGGAAAAATGTACGGTTCCCGTGGGATAGGTTTGTTTTTGTTTTCCTAGAACCCGAGCGAAGCTAGGGTGAGAAGCTAGTTTATAATATTTTTACCAAACGATTTTCATATAAATCATATAAATTTCAATAAAAAGTGAGCTCCAAAAAAAGAGTACAAGTTGACGAAGGTACATAGTATTAAGCTATTCGAGAAAAACATATGTATACTTAGAATAGCTGCGTGTGTGTATGTCTGTGACCGCATAATACTTTGTCCCTACGGCAACTTGTTCTCTTTTTTCACTTTTTACGCAGTCAGTTTAGTTTTCGTCAGTTAGACATTTTTAGTTTTATTTTACAATTTCTTATCCTGAATTATTTTTGAACATATAAGTTGTATATATATATATATATATATATATATATATATATATATATATTCACAATTGCATCTTAATATCCCACTCGATTGATTCAGATGAAAAAAATATATTTAAAGACGCACGAGAGGATCGACCATTTCGATTTTTAATGAATCGAAAAAAACGAATGGAATGCCGTATGAATTATCAAAATCTAACCGATTTTGTAATTAACTAATTAAGAGGGAACATAGGATGGGGCATACATACATAGAGGTTTAACACATAACCCTGCTTTGGGATTCACTGCAGTCGAGTAAGAAACAATACGTACATATATACCCCTAAGCTTGAAATAAGTTATTTTTTTTTTATTAGATCTTTAATGACCACTAGAGACATGAGGGGTTATGTGCATTTGTACGTAGAATATTTTATTACATCTAACCTAGGAAATCGTATACTAACTAGATGTAAGTGGGAAATGAAAGTAAAGTTTACATGTAAGCTCAAGACCGGAATATGATTATTAATTTACGTCACATGTAAGATAACTATATATTTCTCAAGTTATTATAAAAATGGTCTGTGTACAAAAAAATCTATTTGTTGCTAACCGCTTCACTTAAGAACGGCGTGACCGTTTCACCTAACTTTTTACTTATTAAAGTATTCGTAATATTCTGAAGAAGGTTTTTGGAAAAGTTGCTCGAACTTACACTACCACTTGGTGTTTTCAGATTTTTTGCTATCATTTTCTTGGCAGCATAACAAAGTGTAATATGCCTATAATGCAAAGAGGCGGTTAGAAAATTACTTTTTACTAAGAGATCGATAGTTGAAAGTGCGATCAATATTGTTTAGATTTTCCCACACAACGTAGTATTATTAGTTGAAACAAAATACTAAATACGAGTATTTCTCTCGCTTAGCTTACGTTGAAGAAAGAAATGCCTCTTAGGAATAAATCCTCCTTTTCCCACATATTTTCTTTCATATATCAATATTTTTACTAACTTTAAAATTTGCTATCATAAATGCAAAAGTTTTTATGTGTGTTCATTTGTTACATGTTCACGCTAAAACCGTTGGACCAATTTGATGTATAGTACACAGATAAACCATGACCTGGAATTACACATAGACTAGTGTAAGGAACTTAGAGATCCCAAGCGAAGCGAAAAATATCGTTGGAAACTAAAAATTAAAATAACTCTGAAATAATTCGAAAAGATATTTAGTATTATTAAAAATGTCAAATATTCGCGTATACGCGAATATGCCTAAGAAAGTATAATTTAAAAGCATTATACGGTATGATTTTTTTTTTGTCAGATCCCAAGACTCGAACTGAGGTCACATGATCTGCATCCGTTACTACATCGAGACAGTCTTTATTAACTACGTATATCCGGTAATAATATATGAAGAAATAATTGATGACTCTTCAAAACAAGATATAATTTAGTGTCCTTCACCATTTATTTGAAAGGATGCTCTCTACAGGAAGTAAGCTAACGGACGGAGTTCTTAGTTATAAGTATGGGCGATTATATTTATTTTAACCGAAACATCCAAAATAACGAGGTTCTATTATATATATAAGGCTTTATATTTATGGCAACTTTAATTTAATTATATTATATTCTATTAAGGTTCCCGAGGTTGTCGCATAAAATTTTCTTTGATATGAATATTCCGTTTTCGAGAAAATCAAAAAACATGAAATTTAAAGTATGTGAACAGATCTAATTATTAGACAACTTCGATAATATCTGACTTTGTCTGTATTTATTGAAAGGCTCCGTTTTCTTTACTTTTAAGTGTCTAGAATAGGTTTTTTTGACTGACTTTAAGCAAGAAGAAGTTCTCAATCCAGCTTATTTACACGTATTGTTTTGTAGTACATACGCACGTATCGTATTGTGTTTGGAGAAAATATTCCAGTCTTTTTGGGGGTTGAAAGTTCCGCCCCTCCTCACCCCTCCCCAAGGCCAAGAAACTTACTGAGAGGTGACCCACCTCGGTCGGCGGTGTACCATACGGGTTGCTCCTAGTACTTCTTTAGTGACAGACTGGACCCTGGGAGCAACCCCTTGGTTGTGTGGTTTGCTTCGGCAGACTTGCCATCGGGGCATTTTGTTGTTTTTTGTGGAGGTTTTGTCGGGTTTTAGTTGATAGTACTGGCTTCTCTAGCCAGTGGGTCCCACAAAACCACCTGTTCGTATTCAGGTGGTATGCATAAATGCATTTCCCAACATTAAAAAAATATGGGTTGGATGAATTAAAACTCCAATTCATTTCTCATTATAATTTTGTTTCTACTTCAAAATCTTCTAACCGCTATATCTTCTACACATACCATACATTGCTAATCGCGCTCGACGACGCGTAGTTTCCGCGATACCTTCCTCGCCTTTCACTGTTTGTTAATGCATGGCATTATAGTTTAGTGATGTTACTACACTTTCGATTTCTTACTTTTGCAGTTTACTTTAATACTGCGAATATTCATGATTTATCTATACATAATAACAAAATTGTAACTAAGCCGAATCTGTAAATTAAACATTTTTTGGAAAATCTTATTGAAATCGTTATTTTTATTGATACGGAGGCTGAATCTATAGTTTTTAGAATTTTTGTCTGTCTGTGTGTCTGTCTATCTATCTGTGACTGCATCACAAGAAAACCACTGGACAGATTTTGATGAAATTTGGTATGATGATAGCTTATGTAGCTTTGTAGATGATAGCTGGTAATCCGGGTCAACATATAGGATACTTTTTACTGTTGGAAAAAAAATTGTGATCGTAGATTTTAATTTCATTATTAAGTTAATTTTTTTATATAAATTCAATTTACAACTATTTTTTTAG